GGCTTCTGGAGCTGCGTGCATGACGTAGTCGGGAGCTACCGCACATATGTTCGTATTCATCTAAATCCAATCATTGGACATCGTGTTTCGAACGGCCACGTCCACTGCTCACTTTCGCAGAACATGACTCACAAACGTCCAGCTTATCCTTTGCTGCGGGGCATGCGACCGTTGCGGCGGGAGTGAATTTGGGGATCGTCTGAGGTGTGATGAGGATCGGATTCAGCGCTCCAACGGTGCCGTTGTGTGGAGCAATAACCTTTGCTCCTATGAGATCTATAATGCGTATGTGATGCATCACATCTGGTGTTTTTGTCTATGATTACATGTGAACAGGTTGTAAAGTTCGATGTTTGGAAACGGCTGTTCCATCAGGAAGTTTCTCTTGAATGCCGGACCGTAGGCAATGAATGTGGCGTGCATCGTTGGAAAACGGTAATCATAGCCGTGGCTTCCAGTTTCATCTTCATTTTTGGTTTTCCTGAAGAATAGGAAGATAATTCATTCTTTCAAACTGTGTGTTTTGATCTGAAAAACATGCTTTATAAACGAAACTCAAACATAGAAAAATAAGCATCTCTTTTGTCCAATAAACACTACTCGCCTTCACGCTATCATCTGCTTCACGTAACAGAGGTTCACAAGGAGTGATTTACAAGACTACCTGACCGGCTGAACCTCCGGTCTATGGTAGTTGTTAATTCCTACCTCATCCTGAAAAACGGTCGACTAACAAGGCCGCGACAACGGGCTTCAGAGAACTCCCTAAGTCGTTATGAATTTAAGGCTAAATCCGTACAAGAGACTCTCCAAAGAACTTACTGCAAAACTGCTATGACAGAGCTGCTATAAATCAATACCTAGAAGATTAAGGTTACTATTAAGCCCCCTAAAACTATTAGCTTGCAGATATTAAGGGATGGATTACTATGGACGAAGAAGGAAGATCATTTAAATTACCTAGAATTGTGTTGACTAACGATGGCGACATTTTTTCTGAAGTAAACAGGCGTATTGACCTGGCATCAGCGAATTATAGCAAGCTGCAACGAAGCAAGGGGCGGTGCAATATTGCGGTATTTCTTGGAGTAAGATTTTCTTCTGTTATACTCCACTGTAGTATCGGTGTAAAGAAAGAAATGAATTTTTGCTTTACACAGTACATTTTCGATTTTTTCAACCTGGTATCGATGTTTTAAATAAAATATGAGCTCTGTTCAACGATTCAATGAATCCTCTAGTGGAGTAGTGCTCATCTCAAGGACTTGAGACTATACCGTAGTCAGCTAGGTTTCACGCATCTTGAAGATTGCCCAATTTCTGAGTCGATTACTGCTTCTGAATTGCATGAGAAAGCAATGCAGTCGTTGTAGTGTTCACTCTATACCTCTGGAGTTCCAGATAGAGTTGGACTTAAATTTCAGTTGCTTTGTGCCTAGAGTTAGCCTGTTGTACAGTGGATCAGAACACGGCTGAAATCTGATGACAACGCAAATAGAGTGGTTTTATTTATACTCTGAACTGTGGTCAGTATTTGAGGTCATGTGTACTTCGACATTTCCACTGACCTCTAGCTACGCGAATCTCTGTACAGTTCAGAAATGAATTGGTGCCACTTTTCTCATTTATCATTTTGAACTGCATATTTGATTTACGCTGTGCACGTGATCAATTGCTTCTTCACAATCGTTTCTATTTGCCGTTTGACTAGTACCCCCACTTATATATAACCATTGTTGACTTATACTATTATCTTAGACGTTACGTGATTTTCCTGCGACTTTCCTCATAAATTTTCTTCCACAGATTATCTGTCGACATGCAAAGGGAAAACGAACACTCTGCAAACTCCTCATGAAAATTTACAGTCCATCACCCATCTCAGAGGAAATAAAAGTTTGTTATACATACTCCCAAATTGTTGTTCCAACAGTTGCCATCACGATGATATCTCCGATTCTGGGATTTCTGAAGTAATGTAAACGTTTTGGCATGCTGAACCGATCATAAGCCCTGAACATGCCTGTTTCGCATGTCAGCTTTTTTAATACTTCCTGCGCCGTGAAACCTATAAAATTTTACTCTAGCATAAAAAACGACTAAATATGTCCAACATAATTAAATAACATTAATTTTGTTCATATAAAATAGCAAATTAACTGCCATGCACTCATTACAGTCAATCAGTAGATCAGTTTCGATAATCGCTTGTCCGTTCAAATCACGGAAGCACCGCGTTGGCTGCCGCCGGTGTGCTTCTTCCTACCACGTTCGAGTTGAATGATTTTTGCTCTCAGGCCACCTCGTAAATGCTGCCTCTTCTCGCTGACAGTCTGTTAAGTCTCTCGCGTTTACCAGAATGTTCATTTCTGAACTTCAAGCGGAAAGTCCATTCGTTTCATGCCGCAAGATTTGGTTTCAGCCTCAACTAAGCCGCCCACAAACAGCTTCTAACAATCGGTTTCTACCTCAGCCGTCATCAGGGATTTCTATGTCGAGTTTGTACCTCACGGTCTCATCAACTAACTCTCGCTCTTTCCCTCAGAATGAGGATATGTTCTAATTTCCGACTGTAAGCTTCGCTTGGCAGTGTCGTTCCGGTGAAGCCTCATCTGACGCTCCATAAAGGCTTCGCGTTGTCTTCCTTACCCGTTCAGAACGGGTACAGGCTCCGTTGCTTACTGGTACTTCGTCATCGTTTTGTCCATCTTCAGCAGCCGGCGTCGTGCTGCTACTGCCCCCTTCCTCCACCCGGCTGCCAGTAAGTGGGAGCTGGTTCTGATCACCGACGTTTCGCAGCCAGCCTCAATCCTTCCAACAGCTTACACTGTCTTTGGTAATCTAGTGTCTGACTGAGTCAATGCAATGTTACGTAAGGACATTACTATCAACGGAAGGTGACTAGCGTTTACGGGAGATCTCGC